CTCCACAGTGCCAGATTACAGGCCACGTGCCACAGCCGGGCTGATGACATTAGCTAAACATTAGCTAAACATCCCAATGTAGCAAGACCATCCTGACATTTTTGAGGCTCAGTGAGGATTATCATGGGTACATAATTGGCAATTAGAATAATTTGAATCACAATATTTTTTCGGTATCCACCGATCCTCCACAGTGCTGGATTACAGGCCACGAGCATGGCCACGACCACCACCACCACGGCCTGGCAAAAAGCACACTCACTGGTGCACGCAGTTCCCGACGCCTTCCTCGGGGCAGATCCGAGGACCTTTTTGAGGAGGCCGACTCTGGTGAGCGACTTGCCACCGCGAGCCCTGTCGCCCTATTAGCCGCCACAGCACGACCCTCGCGGCGTGCCCACGCCAAGCACCCACACAAGCATCCGCCCGTATCCAGCAGCAGTTGGGGCCTCCTTATTTACGACGTTAATGATGACAGCGGAGGAACGCAGTGGGGGCGGCGGCGACGGCGGCACGCTTGGCATGCCGCCGCTCGTGTGAAAAGGGCGGCCTCACGGCCGAGTGACGGCTCCGCGGCTCACTCGCTCGCGCGCCGTCACGGCCGTGAGCGTTCTCTTCCCGCGACGGTCAGCCGGGAGGGGGGGGGGGGTCGCCTTCTGTCCCACGGGACAAGGCGATCGTCCATCTGTTGGGTTCGCGATCGTCACGGCCGCACCGCTTCATCATCATCCTCCTCCTCCTCGTGGTTTGGTCCATTGCCAAGCGGCGCTTGCTTTCCCTTGGATGAACCCGCCCGCCCGCCCGCCCGCCCGCCCCCCTTCCCCCCCCCCCACCTTCTTTTCCCGTGCAATTTACGTTCCGTCGCAAATCCGACGAGCGCCGGCCATCGCGTGAATGAGAGCGGCGTGTGGGATTTGCGCGGCATGTGGTGGCGGGTTTGTGCAGTAAGCAATTTGTGCCAAGGACCCCCGGTATTCGTGAATTTGCGGGAAAACTGGGGTGCGCCAAATATTTAGCTCGACGCTCGGATCCTTGAAAGTGTAGTTTTGAGTGTAATTTCCATTGTTATTGGCCTATTAATTGTGTTGCTTCATGCTTTAATCACCTTACGTGGCTTGTCCCCATCACATCGCGCTGGTAGTCGTGTCACCGTCCGGGTCACACTGGCAGCACTGAGTAGGCGGCGGCACGTCACTAGGCAGCTACAGCCGGAGCGAGAGTTAGATTCTGGATGTGGTGTTGATGGGGGGGGGGGGACATCGTAATCCGTCCCATTCGGGGAAGTGCCAGGTGTGTCACTCGCTCGCAGAGAAGAGCGGAGTGGGGGGGGGTGGGAGGGCGGAGGGACGGCAGAAGGTTTTTACAGCCTGCCGTTACATAAGCGTGCAATAATTAGCTATTGAGTCGGGCATCCTTTCACATTTATGTCTCGGGGTAGTAAAACGCACAAAGAGCCTCGCGCAGGAAATCGCGCTGTTTTGTGTCGCCGCCGTGCGTTGGACGTGAATGCTCGGAGGCTGTCGGCTAAACGCGACCTTCTGGCAAGCGCCCACGATATGGAATGGCCCTTTGAAAGAAGAAAAAAAAATCCGCTGCGCGCTCATAAGGGCGATAAATAAATTCGGGTGGGGGTGGTAAGTCTCCGACGTGTTGTCCGGGGGTGTCCCGTGCGTTGCCCGGCATCGTGTCCGACGTCTCGCGCCGCGTCCTGGGAGTTTCTCATTTCCGGTTCTTGAAGCCGCCAGCGTGCAGAGGGCAATGTCGAGAACACCGTGCCGAACAACGGGCGCAGTGCGACCTGACCCCAACGCGCATCGGACACGCTGTGACGGGGCATCCGCCAAAGCCTGCACAGTCAAATAATCGTGTCCACGTGCGGTTTTGATCCCACAGTGGATGCGGGGCTGACTCGCCAGCAACAATGATCGTCAGCATCTCTGTAATTATTTACACGGCAAAATGCAGGGGGTTTTTTTTCGTTTGTTAAGTTAATGGTGGCGAGCAGTTGTGCAGTGATTCAAGGCACCACCGCTGCAATGGACTTGGTGACCCGAGTTTAATTCCGGACTGTGTGTAACACCTCGAACCAATCCTGGGTGCCCTCCTTGACCAGTCTACTCAGACTAGTCTGGTGAAGTATGGTCAAAAACACCCCCCTTGATGAAAGGGCATAGAGAGGCCTTCATCCAGCAGCGGATGAACAAATCACTGTACATTCCTCTTAATGTATTTCAGTTACAACCACCACGTCACCAACATAAGAAATGTCATCACAGATTTTAAAAAAGAGAATCTCCATAGAATACAGGGAAAAAGAAATGGCATCATAAATAAAAAATAATAATCAGTTGCTCCATGAATCTTAAATGAAATTATCATAATGGCAACCGTGACACTGTATAATGTGTGTTTAAATATATAAATTAAAATGTATCTGTCCGGTTATGCCTGTTGAGATGTAGATATGTACACTGAAATTTATAGCAAAAACCAAAAATTTAACTGTGAAACCTATATAAAAAAAAAACACTTTCTGAACTATTAAAACTAAAACTATTTTAAGTTTACTAGGTAAGGCCAACTTAGCTACATAGCTCTTTTTCAGAAGCAACTGGCCACAAATGATAGCTCAACGAAGTGGCCTATCATGTGGCAATTTATAGCGGACAAATACTCTAAACGCATGTTTCTAATGTGGAGGCGAAAAACCACGTGACCTCGGGGTGAACGTGCACACTCAGAATATACAGGCATCAAGGTTGGGATTGAGCCCACAGCCTCCTGTATACCGAGCGAGGTAGTCAACATCTCGCCACCATGGAGCTCTTCAATATAACATTGACAGGATTTTTCAAAACCTTGAATATAACATCCACGCTGATTTAAAACAATTTCCCCACTTACCCAGGATTACTTTAAATGTTTAAACCAAAATACCACGGCAAGTCAAATACGTACGTAGCATTCGGGGCCGTGTAAAAATTGCGCACATGTACTTCGCAAAACTTCGCCGCATCTGTTGCGCTTACCCACTCGTCCTCACCCCAGCTTTTCGGGGGGGGGCGACTCCGGGCATGGGTCATCACCCCATGCTTTTCCCATTATCGCGTCCAGCATTTAACCACGAGCATAAAGCCGCCGCCGTTAATCCCAAGGGCCCGTCCCGAGGCGGCGGACGGGTCACGTGGGAGCGTGAATGGTTCCGCGTTGAAACTTTTTTTCGGTGCGGCCTTTAAAGAAATTTACGGCTGGCATTCTTTGAACTCCGTTAGATCGGATGGCAGCGAAATATTTCTGCGGCAGATGGAAATTCTGTTTCATTACCGCTTTGTGACATCTGCTGTATAAAGAAGAAGGGGGGCGGGGGGGGGGTGGTGGGTGGTGCAGAGGTCACAATCGAGGCTGGAGCCACAACGGAGTCGTAACTTTAAGACGGGGGGGGGGGAGGACAGATTTAGTGTCCGTCGGCTCTAAAGAAGCGCGGGGGACGAACGAACACGCCGTTGCGAATCGCTTGGCGCTCGGCTTGCATCGCGAGAATGGTAAACAAAACAAACCCAGAGAAAAGAGTTGCGCGCAGTGTCCGGCGAACCGTCCCGCTCCGCAGATGTCCCTCACCTGGCCAAGGGGTCGTGGATGCTTCTCGCGCACAGTGGGGCCTTCCGCAGGTGCTCGGTCTCGCAGGGCGACGAAAGCCTCAAGTCCCCCTAAGCCAGAGTGGCACTTTGGTTGCAGCTGTTTGTTGCTTCGGAGTGAAAAGGCAAAGATCCCCCGTTCAGTCACACAACAGGTTGTCGAGGCGAGTGCTGCTAGCGGGTAGTGCCCACGCAGGCAGGCCGTCCGCACGCGAATGTGCAGGGTGGCTTGCATCACGCACGGCCGCTGACGTCTCCCCAGCGTTGATGTTTACCCCCCGAAACCAGCGACTCATTTGAGGCCGAGTCGACCAAGGGGAAGCCCAGGACCGGTTCAGATGTCCATCGCCGATGTTGCCCGTGAGCAGGAATCCAACATCGGGTAACACAGCTGCATTATATTCTTAGTTTTTTCGGTAAAGTCACGTTGAAGAGAAACAACAAAATAATAAAATATAAAATATATATGGTCGAAACGTCGTGATAATTTTTTATTGTTTTATATATATTTTATTATTTTGTTGTTTCTCTTCAACGTGACTTTACCGAAAAAACTAAGAATATGAATTACTGCAGTCACGAAAGCTTAAATCAAAATTTAACAGCTGCATTAGTTTAACAAGCCCCGGACACCTGATGAGAACGTTGAAATTGGTCGAGAGTTTACTTGCTGAAAGCGCATGCTGTTGATTAATGTTTGTTTGGAAAGCCAATAGGCCGATGTACTAAAATAAACATTGTAATTGATATGTGAAGGCACAGAACGTATGTGATGGAGGTTTTTTGAGTTAGATCGTGTACATATATAAATGTGTCGTTAAACCCGCCACCACCCGACACAGCCAACTAGTGAGGGTTGTCACGTAAACAGAACGTGACCAATTCATCACGAGTACAGCACTAGTGTATAGTGTAGTGTATAGTAGTATAGTGTAGTATACTAGTACAGCACACCGGTGTGTTGGAAAGGCAAGCCACAAACTGAGTACGATGTTTCCCCAGTAATTACAACTCGCTTCACACATTTACATATTTACGCGATCTAACCCAAAAAAACCTCTTATGGATGATACTGATCACGAAAGTCTACGTGTTAAACGGAACATGTTATTTCTGCACATGGCCAGTTGACAATAGTGTGCCCCCCTAATAGCAACACAACTTTATAATCTGCATTGGTTCCTCTCGGACCATCAACGCGACAGTTATCGTGTCCGCCTTGCTCGGGACGGGCAGAGTTGTAGCTGATGCGACGGACTCTTTGAACCGGAGTTGGAAAACATTGGAAACGCGAGAAGGAATGCGTTTTTTCCCCCCATCCTGATTTGTATGTATATATATATTTGTCGTCGTCGTCCGTCTCAGGCGGCGAGCAGCCATCTCCGCGCTTCGCTCAGTTCTTCCGCGGAGACATCGCGGGCTTCACAGTGCTGCCGGGGCACGTGGAGACGCAGGCCGTGGTGGCGTGCCTTCACGCCTGCAAGGAGAGCCTCGATCTGCCCGCCCTGCCCAACGCCTCCAGCGCCGTGAAGGTGAAGTATGACCCCTCCTCCCCCCCCCCCACGCCCCGCACGCCCTACAACCCCGACCCCACCCAGCACCGGTTTAACGCAAGGGGCTTCGGGGACTGCATCCCGGCGCCTCGGGATTGAGAGGACCCTCGCCACCCTCGCAATAGAATATAGATGTACACCAGCTCCTTAACTTGCAGTGTACACGCAACGCGATTTCGCCTTACCGCGGTTCTTCCATTAGGCAACACTTTTTGTACAGTGCGAAACGCGCACCGTTGTCGCGTGGTTTCAGGGCGGTCGGCGACGAACTACCTTCTTGAGCTGAGTGGAGTGATGCAGTACGCGGGAATGATACAAGTGATACGGTCACGTGGCAAAGTTACCCTCAGTTATCTGCCCCACCATCTTTACCGTGTGTGCCTGTGCATTGCATCTCGCCAAACTCCGTTGTTACGTTATTTATGAGGAAATTGATTTCGCTTAACACCTTCATCGCTGAGCGCGGCACTTTCCAGGAACGCATTTACCACGTTAAATGAGGGTTTGCTGTTTCGCTTTATAATGGGGGACCTTTTTGCCAGTATCAATAGGTTTTAAAACAGGTGTTTTATTGCCAGAAAGGGTAAAACCTATTCTTATTCTTTTCACGCTTTATAATGTTTGAAATGCAATACAGCAGTCAGTACACCGATAAATCCTTGTACTACCGTGGTATAGAGATCAGCACACTGGACTTGCAATACACGGGTCACAGGTTCGATCTGCTGGCGCAGCTGAAACAACGGTGCGAGTTTCTTAAATCTCCCCACTGCCTCTATCAGTCGAGCAGTGTGCATGGGTACGTGTTTGGGGAACGTGCCTATTGCCGCCTCTTCCAAGATGTCCAGCCAGTGTGGAAGAGTAGGCCAAAATTCCCCCCTTGATGAGCTCTCTAGAGTAATCTCTAATGTGGAGGTCCTTGTATGAGCAGTGCGGCGAGAAAGCTACAAATCTCTTACGCTTGCCACAGGACCGTAGCATTCTATACGTTCGGATTAACTTATCTGAACAGAAACCACCTCCCCCGCTCCCCCTCGGTTCTTTACATCTCCCCGCAGGTGCACTTCAACCCGACCAGGCTGACCCTCACGCTGGAGGTGGAAGGTCACGACCTGGAGCAGCTGACGGAGGCCGTTAAGCGCGTGGCCTACGTCAACACTCGCCAGTTCCCCACGCCGGGCCCCCGCGACCTCCACCTGGCCACGGTGCTCCAGTGAGTCCGCTCTCCGACCCCCTCTGCAGGGCCCACGCCGCCACTTTTTTGTGTGCCAGTGAAGAAGGAAGCAGGCCGGGGGTGGGCGCTATACAGAAGGTCGTGGCTTTGATCCGGACTCTGACGCCTGCCGTATATTTGGAGTTTGCATGTCTCCCTCCCCGCGGTCACGTGGATTTTTCTCCTGGTCGTCCGGGTTTTCCCTCGACGTTAAGAATCAACGTGTCACGCGTTTAGATTCTTTGTCTGCTGTACATTTCCACATGATGAGCGACTTCCTTGAGCTATCATTTGTGTGCAAAGTCCCTTCTGAACACGAGTTGTATAGCTCAGTATGCCTTACCTGGTAAAATGAAAATTACATACAATAACATTATCTTTTCAATGTGAGCAGTTCAAAGCAACGGTGTCTGTTAATTACTTGCTGCGTCACGAAAAACGCGTGGCATTATTGCCACTATTGACGATGACGATTACGACGACGATGATCATGACGGCAGTGATTATAATCGAGATGACAATTACTTAATTGTTGATGACGACGATGACGATGGACGCACCTCCACCCGGCAGCTGCGTGGAGGAGGGCTGCCCGGACGTCCCGGAGGTGAGCGCGTACGTCATGGTGCTACAGCCCGAGGACCCGCACATCGTGCTCAGCGGCGCCGACTCGTTCGCTCGGCCCGCCGGGGAGTTCCCCGACGGCGTGGTGCTCTTCCCCGACCTGCGGGTCGTGAGCTCCGTCACCCGCGAGGTGCCCAGCGACGTGGGAGGTACGCGGGCAGGTCGCTGGCGCGGGCGGGCGGGCGGACGCGGGGCGGACGCGGGGCGGACGCAGTCGCTAACTCTCCCGACGCGGTGTGTGTATGCGTGTAAATGAGTACCTGGTGCGGCGTGTAAACATCGCCACTAGGGAGACAAAGGCGGCCGGGCGTGGTGCTGGACACCCACCTCCGCGTGTGCCGTGCCGGCCTACGTAGGTGCTCGCTAACAGCACTTGCCCCAACAGTCTCTGAAGGCTATACGGGGGATCTTTGTCTTTTTGTGTACGTGGGCCGGGTGGGCGCAAAGCCGCGTGTGGTTTCGGCACTAACGGCTGGTGTTTCGAAGCGCTTGCTACAAACAAACCACCAACAACTTCGCTGATCTCGTCAACGAGCATAAACTATCCTGCAAACTCCGGTCATCAGGCTTTTGGCTAACCATCGAACAAAGATGGTTCACAGCATTGTACGCTTTCAGGTTCGCTTCTGCGGCCGTCTGGAACACACTCTTCTTCCGATATTAGGAAGCCACTGGAACTGTGCACTTCTAAATCTGGATTGAAAACGCATTTCTTTATAACTGCTTTATGTGTTTAGTTTGTCATTCGCCCGCGCACCTCTGATTAACACGCTTGGCAACGTACGGTGCGGCAGGGGTTACGTAAGCCAGTTACGTTCAAAATGCGAATGGAAAATGTCCAACTCTGAGAATCGAAAATAATGATTAAATAATGTACGAATCAAAGTGTTACAAAACCAAAATAAAAGTGTTAGGGTCATGTCGGTGTTATAAAACAGTGACTTTGCTTCTGTAATTTTACGTTTCAAGTTATATTGTCCCAATTTATTTTGAATTTTAGCCAATTATGTTCCAAGTGTTTTATTGTTTTGGCAGAAAGAACAGTGCTTTGGATGTGAAGCCACATATAGAAATGAAGAAACGTGTAATTCCAACTAATTCATGTGTCATTTTAACTCGCTACATTGTCTCAAGCATGCATTTTTTTGTAAATTCTAGTATTTTAATATATTTTACTTTATTTGTCAGTGACCATGTGAGATAGATTACCAAGTAATACTCCATGGGCAGACAAAACAACAACCATAGAACAGATATTTTTGTATCTTCTACAGAGGACAATTTGGAGAATATATATAATACTTAACCCTTTCCCATTCCTATGACGTACCCAAAACGAAATTGGAAGAAAAAATAAATAAAAAACTTTATCGGTACCGAGGCTCCCATGAGGCCGTGCGGGAGGGAGTGCGGCACAGTTCGGCGCCAGCTATCGTAGAGTGCGCTTAGTACAACGTCTTCAGAAACAACGGCGCTACGCCTCTCTAATGAGCTGCTCGCGCGTTCCGAGATTCGGAGGTGACCGGGACCCATCCTGCAACTTGCGGACATCTCGGAACGGCAGAAGCTTAAAGAAGGCCGGCACGTGCAGGTTTCCTGTAAGACATTGACGGGGTCATTCTCCGGTATGGAACGAGGGCCACGGTAGTGGCACGGATGGTCCAAGAAGTCCTTTGAACGCGGTGCGACGGAGAGTCTCTTTCCAGCGCTAACCAATAACTTGATATCCGTTCGAGTGGCCTCATTGTGGTCTGTAATAGCCTTAGGCAATGCTTTCAGTGTGCGAAATTCAATTTTCTAGAGACCGATTTTTCTCGTATCTCCACTTTAAAGCCAGCAATCAGAATTGCTTGATAGCAGCAAGGAAAGAATAAAAACGTTATTGTTGTTTCTTCCCTGTGATCAATAAAGATTTAATGTGTAGCTCTGTTTGTAGACGGTACTTATTTCACGTATGTTTAAACTGGTAGTAGATCACAAATAAGCATTTATAGTTTCATTTATCGTTGGATTATTTTTTTACATCACCTGTTATGACAATTTATCTGAGAAAAATGCACGAAATGTCTTGCTCTGGAGCATTGCAGGTAAAGGATTGTTTAAAGCAGAACTCCATTTTGTGCCTCCAACACAGAGGTGGATGAATAAATACAACAAATCAGTTCACATGTGGAAATTCAGCAGCATTTTCTTCTTAACGGGCCTCTGCTGATAAGATGATATACAGAAGGTTGAAACCGGTCCAGAGGTTGCTTGATAAAAAAAAATGTTGCTATCTCAATGGTTTGGAAAGCCCAAAAGACTGATGGACTAATAAAAATAATTTAATGTATTTATACATTGATAACCCTAAGCCTCAATGACCTCCCACCTGGTTATAAATAAAAATTTTGATTGACTGGTTGACTGACTGAATGATTGACCTTGCCCTGTATTTCCCTTTTGTGAGTCATGTATTTGCTTCTATAAAAATGCCACTTTTCAGTCTCAATGTGCTATCACCTGGTTTTAAATTAGAGTATTTTGGCTGCTATGAATGTCCACATAATAAGCCATTTCATTGAGGTATTATTTGTGGCCACGTCGCTTCTGAAAAACAGCTATATAGCTCAGTGGGCCTTACCCTGATAAAATGAAAATAGATTTTAGTTTACATACAAGTTGAAATGCTAGAATAATTGACTGGTTGACAAACTTTTTTTTCAGAAGAGACCTGACCACAAATAATAGCTCAACGAATCAGCTCATCATGCGGCAATGTATTGCAGCCAAATAATCTAAATGCATCTTGATTCTAAATGTGAAGGGAAAAAACCATCGGACCCGGAGAAAAATCCACGCGATCACGGGGAGAGAGAGAACACGCATACTCGGAATATACGGGCGTTGCCAGGGTCGCGAACGAACCCGCGACGACCTCCTGCAAACCAGGCGAGATAGTTAACATCTCGCCACTGCGGCCCTGCCCTGGCGCGCGCCATGTGTTCGTTCGTCCCCAGGCCAGGAGGCCGTGGTGTCCGAGGAGATCCTTCACAACCTGGACCGCTGTGAGGTCGCGGCACTTGGCGACCCCCTGGAGGGCCCCCAGGAACGCTTTGAGGTGCCAGCCGACCAGCTGAGCCCCCAGGGCCTGGAGGTCACCAGCGGCCCCCAGGGCATCACCATCTCCGGTGAGGTCATCGCCAATCAAGCATAATATGCAGATTTCGTATATATATGCACTTAAAGCTTTCGTGACTGCAGGAATGAATATTCTTGGGTCTTTCGGTAAAGTCACGTCTCTGCCTGTGTGTGGGTCTTGGTGTTTCCGAGTGTGTGCTGCTGATCCGCACTTTCCGCGCCCCCCTTTGCTCCATGCATACCTCATGCTAATTTGTCCCATTGTCTCTCAGCCTTACCTTCTCTGCCTATTTAAGGCGACTTCACTCTGTGCTGGTTCGCTCTGCTTGGATGTCTATGTGTGTGTGTGTGTGTGCGGTCTGTATTTAAAAATTTCATACTTAACTTGCAATTTAGCAATCTTTGAAATAGCGTAATCAACCAGACTATGCGTTAATTGTGTTTTGACCGCCCGTCTGTGTTGCTTTATATGGTTTCCAAATTTTGCTAAACCCTGTTTGTTTGGTGTGATTCTCTCTCTGTGTCCGCTGTTCTACTTGGGTGTCTGTATATACATCTGGGGTTATGTGTTTCCTCTCTCTCGTAAATTTAGCTCTTCTGTACCTGATGATGGCTGCTTGTGTTGCAACCGAAACGTCGTACGCTATTATGTTATTTTATTATTTCTTACTTATACGTGACTTTACCGAAAAAACCAAAGAGTAATTCCTGCAGTCACGAAAGCTTCGAATCAAGTCTAAAGTCACGTGAGAATATTTGTTTTTGTTTTTTTTACCAGGTAAGGCCCACTGAGTGGTAGAGCTTTTTTTTCAGAAGCGACCTGGCCGCAAGTGATAGCTCGACGAAGTGGCCAATCACGTGGAAATGTCTAGCAGACAAATACTCCTCACGCGTGGTTGCAAATGTGGAGGGAATGACCGGGGGGATCTTCTTTGGTTCTTTCGGTAAAGTCACGTAGAATGAGAATAAAATAATAAATTAATCAAATAAAATAGCACAATAAAATTCCCACGACGTTTCGGCCACAACACAAGTGGCCTTCATCAGGTGAAGGGACGAGACTGTCTCGAGGACAGTGCTGGAGACAGTCTCGTCCCTTCACCTGATGAAGGCCACTTGTGTTGTGGTCGAAACGTCGTGAGAATTTTATTGTGTTATTTTATTTTGTTAATTTATTATTTTATTCTCATTCTACGTGACTTTACCGAAAGAACCAAAGAAGATGAATCCTTGCAGTCACGAAAGCTTAAAATCGAAATTTAACCAGGGGGACTCGGAGAAAAATCTACGCGACCACGGGGAGAACATGCAAACGCCAAATATACAGGCGTCAGGGTCGGGATTGTACCCACGACTTCCTGTATACCAAGCGAGGTAGTTAACATCTCTCCACCACGGATGGATGCCCCAACAGGTAAATAATAGTTATGATGATAATAATTTACAGTTATTTGTCAATACACTGCTGGATGAAAGGCTGCCCTTTGCAATGTTGGACATTGGGGTTTGTTTGATCATGTTTCACCATGCTGGTCAGTGCGGGTTTGAGAAAAGGAAGCTGAGAACTGGTTCTCAGATATTACCTGTCACTCTCACTGATGTTATATTCATGGCTAGGAAGTAAAGTTGGATCACTGTAATCATAGTGCAGTGGGCAAATTCCACTGTGTGAGTGTTTTCAAATGTTACATTCATTCACTCACCGATAGGGAGCTAACTCCAAATCGTATGGGGAAAGAAATCCAGATATCATTGGAACATTATTCCAAAAACCAAAGAATTTGAAACATGTCACGGGGAAAACATTTCAGAAATAAAATCATGGGAAAAAAATGTCCAAATATCAGCAGATAGGATTTCGAAATCCGCAAAGATAGAATTCCAAAAACATTGGAAAAAATAATTCCACAATTCAGAGAATTACAAAATGCATGGCATGAGAATAGAAAAACCACTGGCAGTTAATTCCCAACGGTAGAAGCGGCACTCTCGGAGTACGGAACTGACAGGCCGAGGTAGACATTGCCGTTCTAATCCTGACTCTTCTCCTCCCTCCTTCCCCCTCTGCTCTCCACTCCCCTCTGCTCTCCTCTCCCTCCTCACAGGAGTGGAGAGCCTGGCGAGCTACGAGCGTGTGCTGCGCACTGTGCGCTACCTGCACAACAACCCGGACTCGCTGTTCGAGCGCCGCTTCCGGCTCACGTGCTCCGAGCTCAACGGCCGCTACGCCAGCAACAGCCTGCCGCTCGACGTGAGACACGGACGCCAGGCCCCCCACCCCACCCCCGGCGCTTGTCCGCATGGGCGCCGCTGCGACTAGCCGTGTTCCCCGCGCACTCTCGCCCGTCGTTTTTGAAGGCGCCACGGTGTAAAAATGTTAACTTACCTCGCCCTGGTATACAGGTGGTCGTGGGTTCGATCCAGACCCTTGACGCCTTTGTATTTGGAGTTGGCATGGTCTCTCTCCCCGTGGTTGCCGATTTTTTCCCCCGCGTTACTTCGGGTTTTTTTTCCTCCACATTTAGAAACATGAGTTTAGACTATTTGGCTGCTCCAAATGTCCACGTGATGTGTCACTTTGTTGAGCTGTCGTTTGTGGCCAGGTCGCTTCTGAAAAAGAGCTATATAGCTCAGGCGGGCCTTACCTGGTAAAATAAATATGGTTTATAGTTTCATTCTTGGAATTGTGTGCTATAGTGGTCAAGAGTTTCATGCGAGCAATCCTAGCAATGGCCGGGATGGCTTCAGAGGTCAAAGGACCAAACTGGGTTTAAACCGAAACCGCCAAATGTTGTCCGCACTACTGTTGACGGGAGTAAGCCATCATGCAACAATGTCGAAACTGATATTGCTACCCTGTAGTTAAACTGGCTTCGCAACGGAAAGAGAGTTTTGATGGTCTCAGCCCGGTCACCAATGACCGCACAAGGGAAACGAAACATCACGGTAAATTTGCTTCTGTGCTTAGTTTTGGTTCAATTGCAGCTCTGAGAATGAAAGTATCAGTTTGGCCATCACGTGACAGACATTGTGGTCATAATAATTATACACAAATGAGAAAATAAAAAAAACCGAAATAGCTCAAATTAGATGGTAAATACGGGACACGAACATTTAATGATCCTTGAATCAAATCGCAAACCCTGAAATCGTGACAGCTAAATTGTTTGTCAAATTGGAAGATATGGGTAAAAGACAAATATAAAGATCATAATTAGATGCCGTCTAAGTAGTGGAGGCTCATGGGAAATGTAATTTAATTTCACACACAAATAAGTATTTATTTCAAATCGAATCTGTTCCCCTGTACATTAAGCAGTCCTCCCTCCTTAACTTCTCATTCCATTCTTAAAGCCTCACCATCTCTTCTCCATCGCCCATTCCCTTCCCTCCCCCCCTCGCCCCTCCACCCCTTCCCATCCCACCCCTGCACTTCCGTGACTCCCACACGTGCCCTCTGTTACGGTCACTCATTCCTCTCGGCCCTTTAGTGCGCACCCTTGCCGTCGAAGTCACTCGTCGTGTGACCGCTGTTAAACTACCTAAAGCGCTTTGAGCTAAGGGACTCTCTAAATATCATATAAAATAAGATATTGTGATGCTTCTGCAGCCAATGTCCAATTCACTGGTACTACTCATCACCACCGTCGTTATAGAGCGCTCACTCATGAATGAACCTTCGCAGGGATCACATGCCGCGCTGCACTTTGCGTTTCGTATTGGCATTTCCCCCCGACGAGATCGAAACGAACTATCTTAAAAAGAGCTGTGACGAGATGCGAAAGGTTAATTTGAGTCGATGTGGGTCAATGCACGTCGAAATGAACTGATGTTAAATATAATATTGACCTGAGAAGGATGAGTAGGGAGTAATTTTTTTACCAGTGGAGAGCTACTGGAAGACAATGTACACGTGATTTTTTTTTCTACATGAAAGGTTGTGTCATTTTTATTCCTCTTATTGTCGTCATCATCAGCATCATAAGCAACAGACATGATCAATCCATTGCTGGATTCAGGCCTCCTCTCCAAGCCATTGCTCTATCAATCAGTCTATATTTATATCGTGCACATCACATTAATAAGGAATGCATATTTGCATAGAATTACATTTACATGAATTATAAACATATATAATATATAAAATATGACTTTTGAGTTCAAAATAACAGGAATGTAACATAGGTAATATGAGTTTTAAAAAATGTTTAAGTTATAATAAAAGAAACATTTACTAAACTCAAGGAATGACATGGTGAACGGTGATGCCCAGCTCAACTTACACGCGTGTGTGCAGGATCTGAGAGATGCATTGAAGAGGTGGGCTTTTAATCATCTTTCAAATTAATCTCAAACGTCTCTCACAGTCCTGCGATGTGGCAGCGTCGTGCTCGGTGGCTCGATTTTAGCCAGAACGGTCCGGAACGCCGTCGCGGGGAATTATTTCAGCCACGCCACATCCATCTCGCCTTTTTTGTTGTTGCCCTCATTCTTCCCTATGTTCCTTTAAACATCTTGATAAGGATTATAAGACAAAGACAATAGGGGACAATAATATAGGATTGTTATGAATGGACGTTCCTTGTGCTCTAGTGGGTAGAGTGCCGTAGGCAGATAATCCCAACTCCACAGCAGCCTTAGCAGCGTTTCGGGAAATATCGAGCGCGAAATTAATCCTCGATTGTTGTTGATGATATTATATCGATCGTCATCGTCATCGTCATCATCGTCTCGGCTGGGCGAGGCTCACGCTGTGCTTGCGCGTGTGTCCTTGCGTGTGCCGCAGGTGACGGTGCTGCATGTGGTGCGTGCGTCGGAGCACGTGAACCACGCGCGCGTGCAGCCCGAATTCGTTCACTCGGTTCACTACCCCGAGCTCTCGGGACACAGCCTCACGGCGACGGCGCACAGCAACGGTGACCGCGCGCACACCGCAAGCGGCCACGCGCGGGCATACGTGATGCACATGTCACCAGCCACGCGGAACATGTGGCACAAGCAATACACGCGTCACCAATCACGTGATACACACGTGATACACACGTGATACACACATCGCCAGACACGTGCGGCACACACGATAAACACATCACCCACACACACGATGCATACATTAACTTTATGTTTAGTTTAATCACTTTTGCCATTGTGGTGACCCAGGTCACTCTTGCGCAACCGAGACTCTATCGAAACTCTATCGAGACTCTATCGAGACTCGATCCTTGATCACCTGGTTCGCCAAAGCTAACAGATTGGTCTCTCTGTCACTAAGGACACGACAGTCACCTGTTTGTTTAACGCATTTATTTGCTCTTTCCTGTCATTCGCAATTGTCACGCATTGGCGTGGACCGTTTAATTTCCAATCGCTCATTTATTTACGCGATTCCCTCTCGCCCCCGGCTCTCTCTCCCGCGCGCCCACGCACCGCTCCGCCCCCCAGCCATCCCCGGCACGGCCACGGTGGTCATCGTTCTGTGCGTGGGCTTCCTCGTCTTCGCCATCGTGCTGGGCGTCGTGCGCGCCCGCTCGGCCAACCAGCGCGGAGCACGTGAGCAGGAGGGCTCCCGCGACAACGAGATGGACTGGGACGACTCGGCGCTCACCATCACCGTCAACCCCATGGAGGTAACCGCCACGCGCCCCACCCTCCCTCGCCACACAATACCGCCCTACGGTAGCGAGATGTTTACTGCCTCGCCTGGTATACTGGAGGTCCTGGGTTCGATTACAACCCCCTGACGCCTGCTGTTTATTTTGTATGTTTGGAGTTGACGTGTCTCTCCCAGTCGTCGCGTGGATTTTTATCCGGGTTTTCCGGTTTTATCCCTCCACATTTAGAATCGACGTGCGTTTACAGTATTTGGCTGCTATAAATGTCCACACGGTAAGTCACTTAGTTGGGCTCCACTTTCTCAATGGTAACCTCCTCGTGGCGTGGTTCTCAACTTCTATACGATGCCTCCCCCCCCCCCCCGCCCCTCCAACTGCAGCGGCTTTTGGCTGCCCATCATACAAAGACGGTCACCGCCTCGCGCCCTTTCTGGATGAGCTTCTGCGGCCGTCTGCAACGCTCTTCCTTCCGATATTATGCACTTTTAAATCGTCTGGATTGAAAACTAATTTCTTCATTTCTTTACATGCAATGTGTTGGCCAATCATCCCCACGCTGACAAATTACTTGAAAATGTCTCATTTGGAATTAAACCTAATGGCAAACATCGCCCCCCCCGCCCCGCCCCGACCGTGGACAAAAAAAAACGTGGCAGGACCGTCCTGGAAACAGATGGTATCGAGACTCTGTGAGGCTTTCCTGGGTAAATAAGCGAAAACGTGACCAAATTAACACATTATCGAGAATATCACCGGCAACAATGTGAACACCGAGAACAACTAATGGATATTACGTTGACCATCGCGTGCCGCTGTGAAGTACGGCAACGCGCGTTGCCTTGCGCTGCCGGTGTCGACCGATGTCTCGCCACATCGCCTGTTGCGTTTAACACTCGCCAGCGAAAAAGATCATGCCGGTCATTTTAATTTATCTTTTTTTGTCCCCAACACTTCGGCAGAGAGCCTCGATCTCACCCCTAAGCTTCGGGCAAGTTCCCCCGAATACTAAATAATCTTATTAAAGCAAATAGCTCCACAATGCCACTTCTAACACATTCAGGGTGCGTGGACGTGATAAGTATTAATAAAGCCTGCAAAGGGTTTTTACAATTAAAAAGACTTTCTTGTCTGGGGAATGTTTTTGTGCACATTAGTAGATGTGTACACCTTTAAATACCGATTATCCACGAGATGCTTCATATCCGAGCTCGTAATTTATTTTATTTCCCAGATAAGCAATGTGGCAACCGTGCCGCAGAGGGTTATGATGTCTGTACCAAATGTACAGAGGTTTGGAGCGGCGGCGCAGCGGTGTTAGCGCACTGTCCTACGAATCTGGTCACCCAAGTTCGATTTCCAGCGACGGTTAGCATCGGTGGGGAGTGATATCTGCACTGTCGTCGTCCGCCCCCCCCCCCCGCCCCCCACCGCCATCCCCATTTCTTAACCTGCACTGACCATTGACCAGTGTGGTGAAGTATGGTCAATAAACACTCATAACCAAAAGACCTGGGGAAGCCCTGATCTACCAGTGGATTGGCCAAGGGCTACAAATGAAATGTTAAGATGTTAGTGTGTGTCTGTGTGTGTGTGTGTGTGGGGAGCAGTCGTGTAGCGGTTAGCGCGCTGCCCTATGAACCTGGCGACCCGGGTTCGATTCCTGCTCACGGCCAACACCGCCCCAGTGACGATTATCTGAACCGGTCCTGGGGAACAGTGGCACAGCGGTTAGCTCACTACGAACCGGGTGACCTGACACGTGCAGTATTCCCAGCTACGGCTAACATCAGTGGCGAGTTGTGGGCCTCCTGTGGTTCAATTTAGCCTGAAATTAGTATAATGTGTGTGTGTAAAAAACATCAGCACTGGGGAGCTCCTTCATTGGTGCTCGCTTCTCACAGCACTTGTCCCAATGGTCTGTTTAGGAGCTATGTGGGCAGTCTTTGTCTGTGTGCTGTGAATGACTTGTAGATTTAAGAGCACGCACAAAAAAACCCTGCCTGAAAGAACACGTAATCTGAAGCTTTAGAACACAGAACTGCATGTTCCAGGCAAAAAAAAAAGTTTAAAACTTTTTCGATTAGTATAATTATGAAATAGCAGCTGGTCATCAGGGAATTGTCATTTGCCGTGTAAATATGCACGTTAATTCCGCGATATGTTTTGCAGACTTAAAATTCGCAATCCCCTTCTGAAGACAGTGTGTGGTGGATTTTTAATTATTACGTAAATTGGTGCTGCATATTGCTTCACAATGGAGGTTTAAAGTTATCACACGTTAATTATCATACTTTAATTATTCATATATTTAAGTGACTGTCTGCACGTTGTTGGTGGCAGTAAATAAAAAAAGCAATTAATTAAAAACGCATTGTGGTTCTCTCTGCAGGTCAAGTCTAAACTAAAGTATAAAATATATATTTTTATTTTACCAGCTAAGGCCCACTGAACTATTTAATCTCTTTTTCAGAAGCAACCTGGCCACAAATGATAGCTCAACGAAGTGGCTTATCACGTGGAAATTCATAGTGGCCAAATACTCTGAACACATTTTGTTGATTCGAAATGTGGAGGTTAAAAACCGGAGGACTTGGAGAGAAATCCACGTGGCCACGGTGAGAGTGAGACATGCAAACTGCAGATATATGGGCGTCAGGATCGGGATCAAACCCACGACCTCCTGTAAACCAGGCAAGGTAGTTAACATCTCGCCACCGTGGCTCCCACATCCTTCTCCTCCCTTCCATTTCTAGAGTTGCGAGCAGAATTGGTGAACGTTCAATCGACGAACGTCGGTGCGACACGCCGGTCTGCACGAACTCACCGCATTGTCCCCCTTGCTTCCTCCCCCGTCGCGCAACGCCGTCCGCTTGCCCCGCAGTCGTACGGCGGCGAGCAGGCGAGCGAGGCGGAGAGCGAAGTGGAGGCAGACGCCGAGGAGGAAGAGGAAGAAGAGGAGGAGGAGGAGGAGGAGGAAGAGGAGGAGGAAGAAGAGGAAGAGGAGGAGGAGGACGACATCACGGCCGCCGAGTCGGAGGAGAGCGGCGCCGAGGAGGGAGACGGGGAGGCCGGGGTGCGCGCCTCTGTGGAGCAGCAGCAGCCGCGGCACGCCCCCCGTGAGCAGCTCGAGTGGGACGACTCGACCCTGACCTTCTAGGGGTCGGGGGGGCGCCCGCGGAGCGATCGGTACGACGATGACGACGACGACGACGATGATATTAATGAGGTGATGAAATGCACAAAGGTAGCAGCAAAACTACGCGACGTATACGTAACGTCCCTCGGCGTAGAAGAAAAAACGCTGGCGATAAAAGCCGGTGACATCCCTCGTCCTCCAAATAAGTATTGTGTGTAGCTCGTATCTGCCCGGTGGTCTTCATCCAGTGGTGGACATTCCACGTTCTTAAGACGGAGATCAGTCTGTCCGGAGGACCAACCACTGTTTGAATTCCACCACGTGGTGCGTCCCAGCAAGGAAAAGGTGCAGCCCTGCAATTACCCCCTCTTGCCACTGCTCCTGCCCCTTGCTAGCTGACTGCCCCTCACTAGCTGACTGCCCCTCACTGCCCCTGAATGCCCCCCCCCCCCCAGCTCATTTGATCTTCCCCTAAATGACGGGTTGCCATGACACCGGTACACTCGCGAGGAGTCGAACTCACAAATTGAACGATTCTCCCAGCTCTGTTACTCTATCAACCGAGCTTTGTACCGTCCATTGGATATTTACGAAGACAAAGATCTTAACTGACTCTTGGGGCAGGTGCTTTTTGCAAGCACCTTATGATTATTCTTTGGGTCTTTCGGTAAAGTCACGTAGATAAGTTCAAAGAAAATAACAAAAAATAACATTAATATGAATTGCTGCAGTCACCTTATGATTGCTGGCACAGTACATGAGGGGCGATGTGGCCAGCACCACGCCCGGCCTCCTTTGTCTCCCTAGTTATGATGTTTAACATCGTACCAGGTACTCGTTTAAGGCCAAGTCAACCTAGGGGAGGCCCAGGACTGGTTCACATAAATCGCCACTGGCGTTGCTATGTATGTGTAGTGGTCGACTTCACGCGGACAACTATTATTTTCTCCGACACCACTTTTATTACCACTCTCCACATTATGTCTATAACTTCACAGTTCCTCTGTTTGTGCTCCGTCCGTCTCGTTCGCTCCGCTTCCTCCCCTGTCTCCAACTGTCTCTCTCCGTCGCTCGCTGTCTGTCTCTCTCCGTCACTCGCTGTCCCTGTCTCTCTCCGTCGCTCGCTGTCTCTGTCCCTCTCTCCGTCACTCGCTGTCCCTGTCTCTCTCCGTCGCTTGCTGTCTCTGTCCCTCTCTCCGTCACTCGCTATCTCTGTCTCTCTCCGTCGCTCGCTGTCTCTGTCCCTCTCTCCGTCACTCGCTGTCCCTGTCTCTCTCCATCGCTCGCTGTCTCTGTCTCTCTCCGTCGCTCGCTGTCTCTGTCTCTCTCCGTCGCTCGCTGTCTCTGTCTCTCTCCGTCGCTCGCTGTCTCTGTCCCTCTCTCCGTCACTCGCTGTCCCTGTCTCTCTCCATCGCTCGCTGTCTCTGTCTCTCTCCGTTGTTCGCTGTCTCTGTCTCTCTCCGTCGCTCGCTGTCTCTGTCTCTCTCTCCGTCGCTCGCTGTCTCTGTCCCTCTCTCCGTCGCTCGCTGTCCCTGTCTCTCTCTCCGTCACTCGCTGTCCCTGTCTCTCTCCATCGCTCGCTGTCTCTGTCTCTCTCCGTCGCTCGCTGTCTCTGTCTCTCTCCGTCGCTCGCTGTCTCTGTCTCTCTCTCCGTCGCTCGCTGTCTCTGTCTCTCTCTCCGTCGCTCGCTGTCTCTGTCTCTCTCCGTCACTCGCTGTCCCTGTCTCTCTCCGTCACTCGCTGTCTCTGTCTCTCTCTCCGTCGCTCGCTGTCTCTGTCCCTCTCTCCGTCACTCGCTGCCCCTGTCTCTCCCCGTCGTTCGCTGTCTCTGTCTCTCCCCGTCACTCGCTGTCTCTGTCTCTCTCCGTCTCCCACTCTGTCTCTCTCTGACTCACTGCATCTATCTCTCCCTGTCTCTCTCTTTCACTCTCTCTGTGTCTATGACTCTCTCTGTCTCCCTCTGTCTCACTCTGTCTCTCTGTGTCTCACTCTGGTTATCTCTCCCTGTCTCTCTCCGTACCCTCTCTGTAGCTATATCTCTGTCTGTCTCACTCTGTCCCTCTGTGTCTCACTCTGTTTATCTCTCCCTGTCTCTCTCCGTACCCTCTCTGTAGCTATGTCTCTCTCTGTCTCTCTCTGTCCCACTCCTTGTCTCTGCTTGTCTCTATCACTCTCAGTCGCTCCTTGTCTCTGCTTGTCTCTATCCCTCTCAGTCACTCCTTGTCTCTGCCAGTCTCTGCTTCACTGCTAGCTGTTCTGTCTCCTATGTCTTCTCCCCGTTTCTCCCACACCTCCGTCGTTCCAGTCCCAACCGCAACTCCCCTCGTTCTTCCCGTCTCCCGAATATATCCCCGTTCTCATTACCCACCAATGAATTAGGCCGCGTGCCACCGACGCCCCGCGTCCCCCCGCACCTGTTACTTGCCCCCCTCTAATTCCCAGACATTCCGGCGCCACCTCGTCCTTGACAACAACCCCAGCCAATCACAGCCGGACATCGCTCCCCGGCTTAATTGTCCCGTCATTACCGCACAGTTTCCCTGCCGCCACACCTGGCCGGCCCGACGTAACCCCACCGTCCACAACTCGCGCGTCTTTCCCATTCCCCCCCTGTATGCGCGTGTTAATCCACTACATACGTATGTTGAACTTCTTTCGAACCGTACGTGGCCAACCGTGCTAATCGGTTGCTGGCCGTGAGCAGGAGTCTAATTCGGGTCGCCCGGTTCGTAGCGCAGCATATTTTTCCTGCACGCGCATACGCACGCACACACGCACGCACGCACGCGTCCGTTAGGAAGCACATTGGGGAACGATTCGTATTTTCCTGCTATGCCGAGCGACGTATGCGTACGAATACCGAGTACACTGTCAGTGCTGACAATTAATGGTCGGGGAAAAAAATAATTCAGCCCGCGGTCTCCCCTTCTCCCCCCCCCACCCCCCCGCTTGACGCAAACCTCCTCCCCACTACCACCACCACCACCACCACCGGTGTAGATGATGAGTGCGCTACATTTTGTTTTCGTGACACGGAGCGGAGACGCTCGCCTTGTTGTAGGAAGCGTAATCTGGGACCGTTATTTATTTTGAGTCGTCGTGTATTCGTGGTGACGGGTTCCCCCCGCCCCCCGCCCCCCGCATAGTACAGGGTGTCCCTCCTCGATTTACAAACGTTCGGTTTTCACGAAATTTCCCACGAACGCAGTCGACAACTTAGGGACACTTTTTGATGAACAAAATCGAATTTGCGCGTAAACGAGGTGTCACCGCGGCACGTGCCCGTGAGGTCAAACGAGAACCGCCACCCCCCGGGGGGAGGCTCTCGTTGTGCAGTGCCACGGTGTCCCCTGCAGTGCGGCAGTGGAAACGCCACCGTGCAGCCCGATCTTGTGGCGAGTTCCCCCGAAAGTGTTTATAATTTTTGCTTCAAATTAATTAGTATTCAATCGTTTTAATATTGTTTTCTTTTTTTGTATTGCGAAATCGGATATAGGTGTGCATTTTTAAGTTCGGAGCAGAGTTGGAATGACTGTCCGAAACACACTCCAAACTTTTGTATTAAATTAATGGGAAAAGCCATTTCAATTTGCGAAATTTCGATAGACGTGTTTTTTCTTTCGTAAATCGAGGGATATACCTGTACTGCGGTTTTAACCCAGGTGTTCTGTCGCTGTTGTTTTAAAATTAATGCTTTTTCCTACCTGCGTATAAGGGTAGAAATCACATTAGTTTCTATGATAAATTTTAGCCGAGAATTAAACAGAAACATAACATTTATGTTGTAATTTAATCGTCACAGTGGGTATTTTCCGCTCGCGATAGCAAACGGAGATTACAATCCCCACCGCCCTCCATTCGCCACCCACCAATAAAATCCCACACGAAGCCACCCGAGTCGAGGTTTAGCATTTTGCCCAAGGGACGTAATAGCTCTTTCGAGAACTTTGGGCAAAAAACTGTTATCCTGTAACCCTTTGATCCCCCACTGGCTATTGCATTCCCAGCAAACAATTCGGTGTAGCGGATGGGCTTCCACTTTTTTTTGCACCACCCCCCCTCCCCCCACGGCGTGAAAATAAAACCATGGCGAGAGCTTCCTTTGCGAGCGCTCCTCTGTAATCACAGCCCTCCCGTCGCAGCAGCAGCAGCACCGACACCGCCTGGTATAGAATTTCCACGTCCGTTATGTTCGGCGATGGTCCTGCTTGGCATCAACCTCTCATGTCCACCCACGTTGAACCAACCATCCCCCCCCCACTGTAGAGGCTACGATATATTATTTGTGTTGAATGTTAGGTGTATACTGCAGCAAGTGTTGTCATTTGAAACCGTGAGCAGTATATGGGTATGTTCAAGAGTCCCGGTTATTCCGCCCCACACTGTCGGCCCATCCCGCTCCCTGGGGGCGTCAATCCACTCGGCGCGAAAATTCAAGAAGAGAGTGCGGCGGAAGTTAAATGTAAGACGGTAGGCAGCCGTAAAGCCGTTCGTGCTCGCTTGGCTCACTTGACAAGCTCCGCCGTACTAAACGTGGCGTGCGAGCGACGCGTTCCGACGTGCGGTCGTGGCTGTGGGGGGTGGGTGTGTGGGTGGCGGCGGCGGCGGCGGTGGCGGTGGTGGCGTTTGCGGTGTAATTCGCTGCTCAGTTCTGGCCGGCAGCGCCATCACAAAGGGCGACGCGGGGGTCCAGGTTTTTCGCATTTTCGTAGGGAATCGTGGTGTACGACGGAAACAGGCCAGTGTCATGTCCTGACAACAAGCTTGGGCCTAAAACAGGAGGGGAGAGACAGATATTTACAGTTAGTAGCATTGCAAGAATTGCATTTAGAATCTAAATGTTATACACCCACTGGCGGCTATAGTAGCACATTGTATTTGTTGTGATTATTGAGCGCACCTTTTAAGATATATATAATACCGTGGTTTCGAATTAGTTTGTCTTAAATTTTATAGGAGGCAACAACATAGGGAACTCTTCTGGACAGTGATTATTGCGCAATCTCTATTTCTCCGTGGTGTAATTCACACTGGTGCATAAGTTGGTGCGGCAATTTGGGGACATCACCACCCCCCCCCCCCCCTCTTCCTCCCCTAACCGCTCTCTGGGAATTTTGCGGGATTAAAGTAAAACTTTCTGTAAGTGCTTCTCGATAAAACTTCCATGTCGCTGATCATCGTCGTGGTCTATTTCACCGTTGGCTAGGGGCTGCACGATACGGTTTAATTGCGTCTGTGTTTTTGGTTTCCAAGGCAAGCATCGGTGAACATATTTTTTGGCAAAGTGTATTAAATTGTAACGTTACAAAAGAAAAAGAAAAAAAGCCTCGGTAAGTGGATTTTTTGCCGGTCAATGTTCTATATTGTGACCTTGATTTTATCTTCAGTCAAATGCAACCATTGATGTTATTTTCTCGTCCTTATGCCTAGTGCTGTTATGACTGTTTGGTTGGCTTGTAAGATTTATCGCTCTGCAGAGCTAGGTTCTGAGACAGAGGTAGCAGATGCTGGCTACAAAACTGGAAACCTTTGGATTGTGTGAAGCCAAGCACGTGGCTTCCATTACAATGCAGGCTGCAGAACTTATCGATGGATGTGGTTTCATTCCAGCAAATGTTTGTCCTGTGATAAAGCTATCAGCAAAGCGTGGTTGCCACAGTGTACATATTTTCACGCTATGAACCGATATGAAATTTCATGGTACCATGATTCTTGCTTTGTCGTATTCCAATAACCCAATTGTATTTCACAATTTTACCGAAATAGTGCTTTGTGCTGTTGCTATACTTCCAGTGCAATTAAATTTCGCTTAAGTTTTTCAACTGCTCTCCACTCAGAACAAAAGTCGACTGCGCGCATCTTTCTAAGCCTCGCGGCGTTACAACCGATAAAGCAGATGCTGGCAGCCACACAATAAATAATAGTTTAAAAGACTACGAAAATTGTTACGTCCTAGAATTTCCATGAATAAAGCATTTGGCAAAGCATTAATTTTTATTGGACAATAGCTATTTATTTAGAACTTTATTTACCGAACTTTATTTCACATGCACATATATAAAGAACATAATTCTTGCTAATCGCCTGATGAGGCTGGTTGTAATCAGCAGCGAAACGACAGAATGGAATTGTAAATGTTCTGGGTTTGCTCTCCAAC